CGTTTGCATATGAAACCGAAAATCGGGTTTCCGTGAGCATTGTTTGTTCGAGCCAAATATACCCATATGTAGTAATGCGAGATGGCTTCTTGTGACTGTGTGACTCTGTAGACTGCAGCCCGCCCTCAGGCTGACAAACTGCATGTGCTGTGTAGTCTGTTTCAGAGCGTCGCTTCATTTCCTCCTCGACTCACGTATAGAACCAGCAAACTCACTCGGTACGCCCGACTCAATCGTCAAAGAAGCAGTAGACGGTGCACCCGTGGTGAGTCTCGACTGCATCGAAACCTGCAGCCATGATGAGCGTTGCTCGAGCAGACGTACGTGGATCGACAACCGGAATATGGCCAAGATGTGATATCGCAGCAGCGATTGCCGAGCTGGTATAAAAACTGAGCAGGTTCGTAGCTGGCAGTATCATCATGGCCCAACCCACCTCTGCAGGTGCTCCCTCCGACGACAGAGCTGCTGGCTTGAATCCTTGGTCATGTCTGGAGTACTACACCACTGCGGCATCAATTTTCCAACAACAGTATCAGATACCAATGCCATCGAGAGGTTGGCTACAAAGACCGGCATGGATAGGTATGGTGTCTTTCTCAGGTTCAGATGTTCGTACTCAGATACTGCCCAGATGGGGCCGTAAACCCTCCGCAATTCTACGTCACGGCTGAACAAATCCAGCTCGCTCGCGCAAACGCTTTTGCGGTCTTGCGGCGGGTGCAGCATGATGCAGAAAGCGGGCAAAATGCGCGTGGAACTCACTCGGAAGGTCTGCGATTCGTGCAGGTCCAATTCCCGCAGCCAGCGCAGGGGGTAGGTCGACCGACAATTGATGACATATTGCCTGTGCAACGACGTCCGGCACCACATCGAATCCCAGCTCAGGCCCTGATTCCACAGCTTGCCTCACAGTCAGGTCCTGCTGCTGCCATGGTTCCACGGCGAGAAGAACAGGACGAGCAACCAGTGGGTGAGTACATGATCATTCTATTCCACGCCGACTTTATTCCAACAATAAAGCACTAGAGCATCTGGTTTCTGTTACACTACAGTACACAAGTGTCGAGAAAGGGCCAGCGGCTCGAGGGTCAAAGGTGGTGTCTAAGAAGGTCCAAGTTAACAAGTTTGAGAAGCTCGTCTTGGACAAGATGACGCGAAATGACTTTGTACGGGCCGTATTAAAGGTACATGATCTCTCCGACAGTTATGCCCCAGGTGATGTGTCTGGCCCGGCCTTTCGGCTCTGGTGGCAGGGATCGAGGTGCGCGATGTCCAGATTATGTGCTGATGGTTTGCTGATGCCGATGATGATTGACAGTGGTGGGAAAAGCGGGGCTGGGACGATTGACACGGATCGTGAATTCACGATTGCGCTCGGCGCTATCGTGAAAAAACGAGGATGTGCGGTTAATGTTGAGATCAACCTTGACAACATGGAAGGCTTTCGTGTCCGTCCGAGGGTATATATCCATCTGCGGTTGTATATAAATGTTACTTATCATTGCCTCGATTACAGATCCCGCAGTCAGTAGGGCCGGAAGCTACGAATGACGACGAGGAGCTTCTCGGCGGTGCTGGCATTCCTCGGGTGGAGTCATTCCCCGACGAGGCCCAGCTCCACGGTGGAATCATTCTGGAACTGAAGCGCCTCCACGAGTGTAAGGAGCATCTCGGCGAACATGGTGAAACGGGCTACTGTTACAAGAACGAAAATGGTCACATCGGGTTGAATAACCGACGCCTCAAGATATGGGCTGCTGCAATTGTGCGTACACCAACCAATTGACTTGACAGTTCTAACTTTAGCTTTCTCAGGCTGGGTATGTCGCCACAAAGAAGGAGCCTCCGAATCACTCTGAATTCGATGGGTTCTGTAGCGGCGGCTCGTCAAGCAGCAAACCGCGTGGACGTACCGGCCCTCGTCCTGCTGCGGCAAATGTACAGCCCACGAATGATGCTGGCGCGATGCTGGCAATGGCGATGCTCCCTCTCATTACCAGTATTTCAGAGCGACATGCTAAACATTCTAGTGGATCCTCTCCTCCCGCCACCCCTCGGAAACGGCATGCCAGATCCCGTTCATCCTCTCCGCCTCCGCCACCTGACATGCTGCTCCATTCGTTCCTCGTAGCTTTGAAGGACCGACGTGGCATTGACTTCCTTGCAGTCGAGCCAGTACTTGCCGCCAAGGAGATCACACCTGACATCATACACCGTGTGCCGGTCGATACACTCTGCAACATGATGAACTCCGTCGAAGGCCGGGTCTTAAAGATGGTTGATTTTGCCGAAGAATGGAATCCCCGTAGCAAGGGTAAGCGGGCTCGTCGTAGTTAGGTGAACAATAATCATTTCCTTTCACTATTCTAAAGCAATATAGTTTTGGTTGATAGTTCATTCCGTGTAGAGCATATTAGACACCATATATCTAGTACCCCAATAATGGCCTTGAATGTCCATCTACGAATACCCACAATTAAGTATCCAGCCCAAGGCGTTCTCCTCCGTTACTGCAAGGATTGCCTCATGTAATAGCCATGGACGAACAGCTGCATCAATAGCAGCTGCTTCGTTTCGCCGCAACCACGCTTTGATGAAGCTGAATGCCTGCTCGATAGGGTTCATATCCGGTGAGTAAGGTGGAAGATAAATAAGTTTCGCGCCTGCACAACGTTCCATTCATCATGCAGCTTTGTGATTGGTGAGTGACATACCACATTCTTCCTCGATGATCCTCCTGATGTCCTCGTCGTGATGGATAGAACAGTTGTCCATGATGACGACACTTCGTGCTCCCGGGTAGGGGTTGAGCTTTGGGGCCTTGAGACAGATGTCAGTGATCATTCATTCAATGATATCCACCTAAAACATACCAGCTCATCACGTAGGAAATCAAGGAATCTTGCTTTTGTGACTGAACCCTCAAATATGTCGAGCGCTATGATGCCTTCGATAGATAGAGCCGGTAGAATCGAATAGCGTTGACCACGCAGGAAAGCCTCACGGCGTACGCACGCTCGCCCAATATCCACCCAGCCACGGGACCGCTGATTTGTTCGATCATCTATGCTCGACTCATCTATCCAAACCAAATACTCCATAGGCAAGTCCCCCCCACTGAGCTTGCCATGTAG